TTCTCCCAAGACACATACCTTAACATTGCACCTTGCTGAACTCTTGGAGGTTTTACAGAAAAATTATTGAACTCATGGACCAAATGGAGCTGCAGGAGTAAGGAAGTAACTAGTTACCTGTGTTCTCAAAGCACTCATCCTTGATCTGCTTCTGAGCCTGTGTTCCAATGCACATTTCATTTTCTTTAATGATGAAAACAGAAGCAAAAGAAAAAAAACAAAAAAAAAAACAAAACGCCTTGCTCTCAGCTCTTCTCCCAGTGACAGTCCAAAGTAAGTTTATTTTGCTTGGTATAAAATATCTTGCACAGAAAGCTGTACTCCGCAATTAAGCTCATCTTTAAGGTTTCTCAAAAACAACTCCTTGGCTCAGGTGAAGAAAGAACCTGGAACCTGTGCTCTTTAAACGAGCATCTTGACTCTCACAGTGAACATCCATACTAAAACAGCTTGTGAAGTCAAATAAACACATGTCCAGTTCCTCAGCTTACAAAAGGGAGCATAACAAGATCAGGGAGCTAGTCAGAGAATAGGTGCTGGAGTCAGTGTTTGAATTTTGTTTCTCTTGCTTTCCACTTCCTTGATTTTAGGCAGGTGCCTAAATACTGTTGTCTCAACTAAAATTAGGATTAAAAACATAGTACCAATTTCACAGACTTATCATGGGGATCAAATGAGATAATGTATGTGAAGCCTTTGGAACAACGGGGCACCTGGGTGGCTCAGTAGGTTAAGCCTCAGGCTCTTGATTTTGGCTCAGGTCATGATCTCCTGGTTCCTGAGTTCAAGCTCTGCACTGGGCTCTGTGCTGACATTGCAGAGCCTTCTTGGGATTCGCTCCCTCTCCCTTTCTTTCTGCCCCTCCCCCTGTCTCTTTCAACATAAATAAATAAACATTAAAAAAACCAGTACTTGGTACTCAATGACTGTTGGCTGTCAGGATTATTATCTATGCATTAGCATTTAACTTCTTCAAAGATTTCTAAAACAAGACTATTATCAGCTTAATTCTGTTTCCTCAAATTTCATATGTTGAAGTCCCAACCCCTCATAACTCAGAAAGTAACCATATTGGTAGATAGGGTCTTTAAAGAGGTAATCAAAGTTTAAATTAATGGGGTGTGGTTGCAATCCAATATGACTGGTGTCCTCATAAGAGAAAGACAGAAATGGCCATGTGAGGACACAGCAAGAAGGCCGCCATATACATGACAAGGAGAAAGACGTTAGGAGAAAGAAAACCTACTGACACTATGATCTTGATCTTCTAGCCTCCAGAACCATGAGAAAATAAATTTCTTTGTTTAAGCCACCCATCCCTCATAATGTGTGATGGCAGCCATAGCAAACTAAAATGAGGACACACTTGCTAATCTATTTCTATCTAATGGAAAGAAATGGACCCCCAAAAAGGGGCAATATATGCTTGTGGATGAAGGGGAGTGGAGAAGAGTAAATGGGTGTAGGCATTTTTGCCTTTTAAGAAAAAAATAATGACTAAGTAAGAGAAACCATGGGCCTTGACAATGAAAAAAAAAAGCTGATATAATACCACATTGTAATTGTTTTTACTTCACTAATTGTTTGGTTTTATAATTTAAAGACCACAAGAACCTTTACCACTTTACATGCATTTCACCACTTTTATTTTTCATACCTTTTACACCATTTCTTAGTTTCTATAATTATTTGAGAACTTCTTTACAAATTTTTTAATGTGATTGCTTTTTCAGTAACACTTTTGAAGCCTAGGATAATTTTTATTATACCCTCACATTTCAATGAAAGTTTAGCAGGATATAAAATTCTAAGTGAAAATCTTTTACTTTCAACTCCATTCTTGTTGCACAATGATGTAAATGTATTTAATGTCCTGGAGCTGTACAGTTAAAAATCATTACAATGCTCAATTTTATGTTATGTATATTTTGCTACAATAAAAATGTATTCTATTGCCTTTTTTTGTATTTAGTAATGTTCTTGAGAACTCTGATACCAATCTTTTTTTTTTTCAGAAAATATTTGGGTTTTTTGTTTGTTTGTTTGTTTGTTTGTTTTTCCCCCCTCTTTGAAGGGAGTGATTTTCTCTCTGTGAAATCTTTTGGAAATTTTTGTTCATTTTTGATATTCTTGAATTTTTATGATATGTCTAGTCTGCAGCTTTTTGTTTCTTTTTTTTAAGTAATTCAATATGTATTGTCAGTATGAGGTCTTTCATCTTTCTTTAATTTTGAAAAATTTATTTCCATTGCTTCAAATATTTTTTCTTCTTCCCCCTTTGTATTTTTCTCAATTTTGACACTTCTATCTTCCATATTTCATAGCTCCCATTTATATATTCCAGCTTTTCTTTTCTTGCTACATCTGGATAAATTCTTCAACCTAATCTTCCAGTTCAGGAATTCACTCTTCAGCTAAATCCATTCTTACATTGTTACTCTGTTGCATCCTTTACTTCAACTATTATATTTTCATTCCTATTATTTGCTTGCACTTGCTTTTTTAAAATCCCTTAACCTTTCAGAATCCCAATATCTTCCCCATCTCTCTAAGATAATTAATTACCTATCTTAGTTTAAATGATTGTTAATTTTATCAAAATTTGTACATATTATTCAACCTATTATTTCTCTTTTGGGTATCCAGTTTATTAGCTTGTAAACTCATGTTCTCTGTGAAGTATAGCTACCCTATTTAGTACTATGTATTGGGGAAGTGCCTATGTCCTATTGTAACATTCCTTGCCATTGTCAGTTCTGTTGAGTTTAAGAACAGGAGAGAGGGAAAACTTTAGGCCATGCACAAATGCACCACAGGGCCACTCCTGACCATAGGTTCTGTTGCCACAGTATTTGGCAACTCACCCAATCAGTAATTACTTTTAAACACTTAGGAAGAAGCAGGGTTAGGAGCATAGGAGCAAAAGTCTACATTATAATCTGTAAATCCTGGGGGGCTAAGGAGGAGGAAGAGTAGAGGAGTAAATGCTTGAGAACAATTGATGAGTAGCACCTATTTTTAACAAAGCTTCTCTCCAGGACATATGTGCCGATAGTATGTCAGGGCAACTGCAAATATTGCTCCTGCTTTCTTCCATGGAGTGGCAGACAACAATTTCCTCAGTGCTTTAAGGAAGAAAGGCAAGAGCAGAATTCTAGATATTTTTCCTTCCACCTGTTCCCAACACTGCACCAGCAGCATTCCTCCTAGGCTGCACTCACCTACCTCCCCCCAACACACACCAACTCAACCTGGTCTTCAGCCACCCCTATGGGGATTTCGTTCCTATAGCCCATGTTTTACTCTCTCACATCTATAATTTTTCCAAGTTGATTTCCATGGGGGAAGGAGCAATTGTCAGCAAGCCTTCCTAGTTTACTCTCCTAGCAAAAATTAAAATTTGTATATTCTAACTCTACATTTAACGTAACTACACAAAAATGAATATATGCTTTTGTTCATGCTTAGCATACATTATCACTAAACATACCTCTAGATCCAAATGTCTATATGCCCATACAGACATCTATTATATAAGTGGTATGCTAAATTCAATGCATATGTGCTAGTATCCCATTCTTTCAATATAAACATTTTCACTGACCAGGGAACACTTCTAGTCTTTTCTTCCCCAAAGCAAGAAAATCAAGCCCCAGTATAATAGGAAACAATTATATCTAAATAGAATTGTACAAATTCACAGAAAAATCAATAACAGGATTCAAGAGGCACAACTCTGCCTCCTTATAAAAATGACAAAAAAAATGGCTTTTTGCATACTGCAAACAAATGAAGAAATGTGAAACTGTAATGAATAAAACAGGATGAGATAAAAAAGGAATCCATAGGGCTTTCAATCAGAAAGTAAAAGTGTAAGCCTATGCAAATTACAGCAATTTAAAGATATTCTAGAGGTCACTCTTCATTGACATGGTAAATTTAATTTAAAGAATCAAATAATGCAGACTGTGTATGAAGTACCTGACTATAAAAGGTAATAATAACAATTCATTTTTTAACCGGCTTTACAGATCAATCAAGCAAACTGTAAAATGTTAATCTTCGAACTTGTAATATTTCTCAAATTATTTGATTCAGCATATAGATAAAAATCTTACTTATCACATTGCAGGAAGTTGGTTATTTTTTAATTAATTTATTTTCTCTTTGTTAACATTACTAGAAGAACTTCTATTTGGTAAAACTGAAACATGCCTTATTGTTTGACACCCTGTACCTGAAAATACCATGTTGTTTTGTTCTCCAACCATACCAACATTCTAGCCTGAGGGTATAAAACTAAAACTACTTACATCCCTCCTCACTCACAATGAAAGATTAAATAATTTAAAATAGAAAATCCTCATCTTGCTCTTTTTTAGCTATAAGGAGAGGGGGAAGGGAATAAGAATTATAAGCTCTAGATTATTCTTACATTAATGAGAAAAATTTATAAAACGATGCTTTCAAAATTTGGGGTAGTAATTTCTAGGGCTGTCATAAGAAATTACCACAAACTAGACTCTTAAATACAGAGAACAAATTGAGGTTTCATGGGGTGGGGAAATTGGGTGATGGGCATTGAGGGGGGTTGATGTGAGCACTGGGTGTTGTATGTAAGTGATGAATCATGGAATCTCCTCCTGAAGACAAGATTACACTGTATGTTAGCTAACTTGACAATTTAAAAAAAAATGTACATATGAAAAAACAAAGTTTGCATGGGGAAAATCAAACAAACAAATTACCGCAAACTAGGTGGCTTAACAAAACAGAAATTATTTCTCCCAGTTCTGGAGTCCAGAAGCCTGGATTCAAGGTGTTGGCAGGGCCCTGCTCCTTCTCCAGGGTCCAGGGTAAGATCTTTTTTCCTTTCTTTTTTCCTCCTTCATATAACTTCTGGTGGGCTCCTGGTGTTCCTTGCTTCACAGCTTTACAACTCTATTTTCTGCCTCTGTCGTCATATGGCCTTTGCTTTTTGTCTTTTTCTGTCCTCTCCTCTTTTCTTAAGGACTCTAGTCATTGGATCAGGGCCCACCCTAATCTAGTATGACCTCATTTCAACTAATTGCATCTATAAAAACCCCATTTCCAAATAAGGTTATAGGTACTAGTGAGGACTGAAACATAGCTTTTTTTTTCTTTTTCTCTTTGGCTTAAACAAACACAACATTTATTATCTCATATAACAGGGAGTCCATAACTAAGGCCAACTTCAGAGTTGCTTGACTCAGTAGCTCAGAAATATCAGTAAGGAGCTAGGTTGTGTTCATGTATATGCTAAACCATTCATACAATGTTTCATCTTCAGTCTAGTTTCCCTCCTAGTAACAGATGGCTACCAGTAGAAAATAGGAAATCCTATGCTTTGTTTTCACATCAGATGAAAGCTAGAGGGAGAGGCTAATGGATGAATGGAGGAGGGAAGGCAAAAGAGTTCCCGTCAATGCGGAATATAAATTCTTCCATCTAATTTGATTTGTCCAGTTTAGGCCACATGTCCACACCATGATCAATAAGAATCACCAGGCAAGTGCCATGCATTCACTGAATTAATTAGAATTTATGCCCAGAGTTGGGAGGGCTTCAGCATCCCCTGAGTCACAGGGGCTACACAGGAGAAGGATTAACAGTTGCATAGAAGTGGAATTTCTTTAGGAAGAACAAAAAAGGGACTAGATGTTGAGCATCCAGTTGACAGAGCTCCCTACAAAACCATGCCATTGTATGCTATTTCATTATCCCTGCAATGTCCCTGGTAGTTGAGGCAATTTTTGTAATATCCTTACAGAACATGTATTTTGGGGGAAAACAATGAAGCCCATTATACTACAAAATAAATTAGCTTACTATACTAATCAGAGAATTAAACTAGAATCATATGACTTACTTTTCCTAAGATCAACTGTATTGCCCAATTACTTCTGTCATTAAGCCATACAAGTCCAACATTTTACAGCCTTATTTTGGCCCCAATGTACCTCATCTTCTCAGTTCCTATTATTGCTGTTTTAACTCAGATCTTCATCAACTTTCTGGGACAGTGGCAAGATCTCTCAGCTAGTCTCTTTCTCCACTCTCCTTCCCAACTCCAAAATAACTTCTGCAGTGTAGACGTATTAGTCTGCCTAAAATGAAACATGGATTATATAACTATGCTTCTTAACACATTCCAAAGGATACCCAATTTTCTGCAGGATAAAATTTAAAGTCCTCAGTAACGCATCTTATATCCTCCATCATTTCTGCCTTGCTTACACCTTCAGCCTTACCCTAAATCTGCACTCTACTCTTAAGTCATAATGAGTTTATTGCCATTCCAAAACTATGCTAGTTTAATACGCATCTATTTTCCTTTTGCCTGGATATTCCCAGTTTTGTTTAGTATCTTTCCGTTCTTTTCTGTAATGCCAAGCCTTTTTCTGACTAACCTGGATAAAGAGACACAACTGAATACCATTAGCTCTCTACCAGGTTCAGCTACCCAACAGGACCAGTGCTTTTGAAATTTGAGTAGGTCTAATTCAGTAGGTCTGGACTGTATAGCAACCGATTAAAACTTTCAGGTGATGGGTTGTATGTAAATAGTGAGGACAGAGACAAAAGATCTAAATCTCTAGGCAATAAAAATTGGGTTGCCCTGCTGTGACTTTTGACTTCTCTGCATCAACTGTTGCTGAACTCCTGAGTTCCTCTAAGTCGCATCCTGGATCCTGCTCCATTTATGTCTGTTCTTAAATTGCCACAGATAATCACTACCTCTTTCTCAAATCTAAATTATGGAATTACAAAAGGAAATAGGCTACATTCAAACCCTGAAGCATCAGTGAGAATTCTAGAATTTCTACATAGTAGAAATTTAAGAGAAGGCGTCTGGCTTAAGAAGTTGGATCACTGGAAAACAGGGTTGAAGACTATATTCCATAGACTTCTATATCAATATTATAACAAAACAAAACAAAACAAACAAACAAAAAACACTGGTTTTCCATATTAAAGAACAAGGAAGGAATTGGTTGTAATCAGGGAAAGCTTTCACTGTACCCCAAGTCTGAATTTGATGCCACCACTGCAAAATAGAAGATTAAATATAAGAATATAGTTTGAGATAATCTTTAAGCTAGCCTTCCTATTTTTTTTTTATTTGCACCTGCAAAGTCTTACACAATAAAAGGCTATTTACTCTATGTAATATGGATTTTGAAAGATACGTGAGAGTTTGAGTTGCCAGAATCAAAAGCCAATGTAAAGAAAAGTGTGGTGTGTGTGTGCATAGACCATAGTTAATATCAAGGGAAACAAGTGTACATGAAAAACTGTGTAATCATAATATACCGTGTAGCTCCTCTGTTTATGACTTCCCTAGTTATAATAAGGTTAACACTAAATATTGATTGAGCCAAAATAGTGGCACATTTGTTTTGATAGAACAGGGAAAGTGAAAGTGTTTAAATGTATATAAGCATCATAAAAATATTTAAATTCTAATTCTCTACAATAGAAAATCAACAAATAAAAGCTAAAATTGAAAATCAAGAAATAGCATTATGCTGTTATTTAGTAATAGGAGTATAAATAACAGGAAAGTAAAAAAAGAAATGCCCTTGAAAATGGGATGTGTGATACTTTTTACTATAAGTTTTGTACTATCACTTGACTTTTTAAAAATGTATGTGAATATGCATATTTCTTTGATAAAATGAAAATTACACTTAAATATAACTGCATACAATTGATTTTAGGGCTCTTTTCAGTATATTTGAAACAATGAAATCTGAGTAAACCTCTGTTCATATTGACTTTTCTTCCCAAATTGGTTTCTCAGTAAAATTTTTGTTTCACAGGATCCTCTTTAATTTCAGAGAATCAAAAATGTCAGACATTCACATTTATTCTGATAAGGACTAGATTTCAGAAAAGCATATCCTACAATTAGAGGAGATTTGTGGTTCTTTCCTAGGAAAAAAACATGGTTTTATACCACAAGAAACTCTTCTTAAATATTTTCCTAAAGAGGTAACACTGTCTTCATTCCATCTTGTGAATGCTAAGCATTGATTGTTTAACAATGTCACTTCCAAATCTAAAAAACCCTTAAGAATAAAGAATATGACATTTCTTGAAAGTTGGAGGCTTAATTAGAAACAATAGGAAGTATCATGATCTTTCTTTGCTCTACAAGTCTCAAAATGATCAATAGAAGGGCCAGGTAATGGGGAAGGTGAAGAGAAACAATTCACATGTGTTTAGATACATGATAGGTAGATGACAGACAAATAGAAAAAGAGAAGGCAAGATTTTTTTTTTTTAACTTCACAAAATCTTCAGGGTACTTCAAGTTTCTAAGTCTTGCCTGAGTTTACTTATTAGAAAGTAAGAGATTTAAGATTCAAATCTAAATCTGTATCTCTCCAGAGTCTACATTTCTTTCAGTTTGCCAAAATCAAGACAGGCCAATTGCAAATCCATCCCAGGTTTGGGATCCTACCTTAGGTCCCTGTTCCTGTGGTTGTCAATACATCCAAGTTATCTGTGGATTTGTTTTTCATAAGACTTAGAACCCAACATTCATTTTCCCCAAATAAGACCTAAACTTTAGTTGTAAATTTTTATGATACTTAAAGTAGAAATCTAAACCTGTCAGCTGGATCTCAAGACTTGACCTTTACGGCCCACCTGCTTGTACTAACCAACCTTTGTTTCACAATTGTCCGAAAGTTCTTCTCTGCAGCTTACCTGTTAACTCAGGCAAAAGACCCAGTGGGCATAGCATCCCCAGCTTGAAACCTAGTCAAACAATAATACCTGCCCTGAGGAAGAGCTCCAGGCACCCCAGACCACTGAAACCAGTTTGCGCTCAGCCTTCAATTCAGTCCTGCACAGATGGACCATGACTGACAGTTACCTTTACCTCATCGTAACCTCAAAACCTCCATCCAAGGAGGCGCACAAGCCTCATTCACATAACATACACATATGTGTAGGCACGTTTCCTTAAGGAGCATGCACAGACTTATGCCGGCCTCTGCATTTGGTGACAAAGCTTCCCTATCTACGTATTCATCCTAACTCCAAATAAAAGGAACCCATTTACCCTTTGTTTGGGGAATCTTGGCTTTGGAAGTTATTCCTCATGAACTTATTTCCTCAAATAAACTTTACTTTGTGTGACAACTCTACCTGGTGTGGTTTCTATCTGTAACTCACCAAGGAATGAACTCATATCAGATGGTTGCAAACCCTTTCCGGATTCTTCCTTAAGTATCTCTGTTTCACTCTCTCTATTACAGGATTAGCTTGCAGCTCTCTTCCCACACAGAGCATGTTTGGAGTTGCAAGGTGAAGGAAACTTGGAAATGATCAGGGGAGGGGGAGGCATAGAGGGAGTAAAAATTTTCTGCCAACATCATAAGGACTCTTTGAAAATTCTGGACTATTAGTTAAAGAATGAGATTAGAATCATGTCAAACTTCAAAGCTGTTTTCTAACCACCTATTTTAAAAGGCTTTTCTCTGGAAATAACATAGTTTCCCTTTTTCTTCACAGCACAATGAAAAATACATTTCTGTTCATTTATACTGTTTTTTTCTTTAGAATAAAGTTTTTTGAGTTTAGAGGAGTTCTTCTCCTGACCTTTCTTGTCAATGATTTTTCAAAGTAATAAACAAAAATACGTGTAAACATTTTTCCCAATTTGTGATGAGCAGTCAATAAACAGAAAATGTTAATCATACTAATTTCTTCTCACTGGCAAAGTGATGCATAAATAAACTATTAACATGCAAGGGCCAACAGGGTTAAGCTGTTCAAACATTGTCATTGATTTCTTCCTTTTCCCCCACGCTCACTTCTTCTTATTCAACTGGTATTGTGTAACCTTTCCTTTCCATTATATTGTAAAAGTTTTCTCCCTTGAGCCTCTCTGTGAGGCTCTTCTCTTAAAACATTAATTAAAGGGAGGTGAAGTATTTGACTAATCAGCAGAGGAGTCTGTATGGCTCCAATGTTGAATGACAAATGTCAATATCTGCTTTAGGTTTGTTGGATCAACCAGCCAATGTGGAGAAACTGATCCATCATCTTGTCACCAATTCCTGTAGCATCCCAGAAGCCTGCCAATTAAAAAAAAGTTGTAATCACAATACATCACTCAGCGGTGATTGCAGGAACATGATAAATAGGGACCTTTTTCTTTCTCTCCGTTGAGTATTTGATGTCTTTTTTGAAAACGTATCCCATTTTTCAGGTTGATGCAAAACTCAGATCCAAAATGCAAAAATAGATCACCTAAAGGTATATATTCCTCTGTTCTTTTTCCTGAAGCATAAATTAACATTTTGTTGAATACGTATAATTCTTGTATGCTTTTGAAGAGTGACAGAGATGGTTAGGACTGTAACCTGTAGTACTGGGACTGGCCCATTTCATGGTTTTTTTTTTTTTTCCTTCAAAGGCAAAGTTTGAAATTGTCTTTGGTGAGTAGTCACAAAAATTGGAACATACAATCTCATACAAATCTCATCAAAGCTCTCACTTCTTAAGAGGGTAAAGGTATGCTACATAAACCTTTCCAGTCACATTTCCTGCCTTATTCCTACCCACATCCTTTTCTCTATCTATTCTTCTTCTTTTTTAAAATTATTTTGAGAGAGAGAGCACAAACTGAGGAGGGACAGAGAGAGAGGGAGAGAGAATACCAAGCAGGCTCTACACTGCCAGTGCATAGCCTGATGTGGGGCTAGAACTCATGAACCTTAAGATCATGACCTAAGCCAAAACGAAGGGTCAGGCATTTAACCGACTGAGCCACCCAGTAGGCCCTCTAGCTATTCTTAAATCTACAGGTAATTCTTAAGGTTAGGATGTTTTCTCTTTATCTGAAAGGCTCTTGGGACTCTTGGTTCATGTAGCTAACTCCTTTAAGTTCTTCCAGACTTGAATTAAATACCATCTTCTGTAGACACATCTCTACATACTCAAAGGCTGAGTTAAAGACCTGTTTTTGCTTCTTCTCCTATCTCTAGTAACACTTGGTTCATACTTCCTTTCAAACCTAAATCTATTTATTGCAATTGAGATTTTCTTCTTTGTTTCCCATTTAAAGTGATAAGCTCCTAAAAGACAGGGACCATCTCACATTGACCTTGTACCCCAATTACCAACATTATGACTGGTACCTAGTAGGTGTTCAGATCTGTTAATGCATGAAACTGCTCTTAAAACGTCCATGCTTACTTTTCCCAGTGATTACTAATTTTCTTAGAATCAAGATTAGTTCCTTACCAGAACCTACAAAGTCCTAGACAAACTGAACTCTGCCCTCATCTAGCTTCCAGTTGAGCCAACTTCTCTCTCATTTATTTTGACTTACTCCAAACTGACCTTTCTTCATTTCTTATGTGGCAAGTTCCTCCTTATCTAAGGGCTTTTGTAGTAAGTATTGCCTGTGTTTGAAATATTCTTTATCACTCTTCATCTGGCCAACTCATCTATTAATCTTCATCTTAAAATCCACTCCTTTAGGGAATATTTTCCTGATATTTCTCCCCAAAACCATAGTATGTCCCCAATTGCCTAATCCCTTTGATGTCTTTCATGACTATTAATACACATACGTCATCGGTGTACAGATACAGAACTTTCTGGACTGCACTATGAGAGAAGGGGTCATGTTTTCCTTATTCATAGTTGTATCTGTGACATCTAAAAGGAGACATCCAGTAAATATTTCAAGGCTGTTTAAGTAAATCTTGAATATATGCCAAATTTTGACAGCAGAAACCAGAATAAAGGCTATAAACCTGAAATAGTACTATTTCAAAAATTAAGCTTTTGGGGCGCCTGTGTGGCGCAGTCGGTTAAGCGTCCGACTTCAGCCAGGTCACGATCTCGCGGTCCGTTGAGTTCGAGCCCCGCGTCAGGCTCTGGGCTGATGGCTCAGAGACTGGAGCCTGTTTCCGATTCTGTGTCTCCCTCTCTCTCTGCCCCTCCCCCATTCATGCTCTGTCTCTCTCTGTCCCAAAAATAAATAAACGTTGAAAAAAAAATTAAGCTTTTGTAGTAAAATTTATGAAACATCCTTCTAAAAAAGCCATATCCTTTATCCTACACCCCTTTCACACCGAGCCAATCAACAAGCCTAACACAGGAGAGGCTTCACTTTTAAAACGTGGGTGCCTCAGTTTTTACAACTCAGGCAATTGGCCTGGCAAGGGTCCAGAAACCTGAGACTATCATCACATTAGACTAAAAATGTGCATAAATGTTTCTGTTTCTCCTTAATGCCCCCAACCCAATAATTATTTGCACCTGTAATTTCCTTGACAGGTGTTAGTGCCACACTCCTCTGCTCCCCAGCCAGGTGAGGAATAAAGACAGTCATTTCATGAATTCTGACACACTCTAAAGGCAAAAAACTGGCACTTGCAGACCAAGAGTTGCATACATTTCCACATTCCATGGCCTGCACCTCATTCCCAAACCCACCATTTTGTCTCCCAAAGTAGAAAACAAAACAGAAGATGGGGAAGTGGAAGCCAGTCGTACTTGCTAACACATCTGAAAGTCTTGTGAAGGCAAAATGTGCCATGTCATGTGTCGTATCCTTACCAACCAATTGTCTGGTGACGCTGCTCACCAACTTTTCTCTTGGCTTCCCCTATTCATGTTCAAAGCCTCTGTATGGTAAACAGGTGGGGCTAGCCTTGAAAAGTAATCATGGAGGGCTGGAGTCTCTAATGCAATCATGTAAAACACTGATGATGTTTTGGTTTAAAAATAATGCATCCCCAGTGACAGAGCCTGTTGAAATCAGTGGAATTTATGAACTTATTTATTTATTTACCTTCTGTCTGAACAAGAATCTCACCATGGAATTAAAATTCAACAGACAGAAACCCAAGTTGAGAGCTATGCTCCAGGTATTGTTTTTAATCTTTTATCTGATTCACACTGATGAACAAGACAGCATTAAAGCTCCTCTAGTCATTTTCTCAAACATTGCAAAGCAAAAACAAGGGCCAGGATTACTTTTAAAATGAATCCTTACTAAAATATTCACAGACCAAACAAAAAAAATAAGCTCACAGAAGGCCAGGGAAAATTTTTGAAATTCACATTATCAACTGCCAGGGTTGGTCTGTGGGCTAAAAAGGATACTAGAGTCCCAATGATTTATTTAGTGACTACATGTCTCCTCAAGCTCTTTCAAGAACTTCTTACAGCGGATCTAAATTTCTAAAATGCAAATGATGAGATTTCACTAGCACTATAATTTCATGAACTGTGTCTGTAGATTTTAATTTAAATATGCAACTTTTAAAACACTTTATGAAGTTGCACAGAAGTATCTTTACAGGGTAGTTTGCAGTACAACAAATATAGTCTTTACTAGTTTCTTTTCGTTTTTATTTTAGAGAAAGAGAGGGGAGATGGAAAGGGAAGTGGGTGAGAGAATCTTTTTTTTAATATAATTTATTCTCAAGTTAGCTAACATACGGTGTATACATGTGCTTTCCACTTCGGGAGTAGATTCCCATGATTCATAGCTTAGATACAAAACCAGGGCTCCTCCCAACAAGTGCCCTCCTCAATGCCCATCACCCATTTTCCCTTCTCCCCCCGCCCCCGCCCACCATCAATGCTCAGTTTGTTCTCTGTATTTAAGAGAGAGAGAATCTTGAGCAGGTTCCACACTGAGCATGGAGCCTGACGCAGGGCTCAGTCCCAGGACCCATGACTTGAGCTGAAATCAAGAGTCTAATGTTCAACTGAGCAACCCAGGTGCCCTCCACCACTAATTTCTTTAAAATACAAAGGCATACCACAGTGGTTTTAAGGGAATATAATGCATTTTTAAAGTATATTTATGAGACTCCTTTTTATCTTCTCTCACTCAACCATAATCTACTTATTTTAGTGTATTTCACCTTTATCTGATCCTTCTTCCATGGGTTGGGATAAAGCTGATCTGACACACAAAAGTTTTAAAAGGCTTTCTAGTTCACTTTTCTGATCTCTACTAAAAACTCATGTGAATGGAGGGCTTGCAATCTACCAGACACTGTTCTGGGCACCTGCCCTGTGGCATTATCCCCCTAATTCTTACATCAAAATTATGAGGCTGACCTCATAACCCCTTCAAATTCTCCCATCTGAAGAAGAGTTTGATGTTTTACCAAAATCAAAAGAGAAGGTGATAAAATAAATAGTATTATTAAGATTAAAAGAATAAAAGCAATGCCCAAATCATCTAAAATCCTGTCCTCCATTTAGGAAGAGAGATCGGGGGAGAGACCTAGGAAATGTGATATTTTAAAATTGTCTATGAACCAAAGTAGATCTGTTGTATTCTTCAAAGTACATTCGGTCTGACAATTTCTGTCAAGTTGTGGGATGGTGAAAATTAATATGTCCTAGTTATGAACTGCTAAAAAAATTGTTCCAGGAACAGAAATGGCAGTTCAGCTAAAAATATATATTGACCATGCTAAGTCTTACTATGTTATCACTGGTACAAAGTCTACAGCTGAATGGAAATTTTGAAACATTCCAACTGTTTCTTGGGACCTGTTTACTCCATTTATTTGTTTAGTAAGGTGAATCTGTGCTTCAGAAACTCTGAAGTCATACACAAAGACTTATGCCAACTTTCAAACAATGTGTGGGATTTAATTAGGTGATATATTTCTCTTGTCTTCGGGAATCCAGACACCATTATGTTTCCCTGCATTAGCAACTATGCTGAATAAGAATTGCTTGTATTTGACTTTTATGAGAAAGAGGGAACATTTTTGAGTGGCTACGTTGTCTTTTGTGTAGACACATGGCTGGTAGGCTACAAACTAATTAGCATGGGCACTAGATACTTGAGAGTGGTTTGTCACAGAAGCTGATAAGACACTATCATCTCAGAAATAGCACCAAATGATCTTTTTGTCCTCTGCTTCAAAGTGATAATGCTAATACCAGTTTATTAAAATTTGTAATCTAATATGCTCTGCTAATTTCCTATTGGGGATAGTACTTATATTGAAAGTATTGCTTATTTTACATGTATTCAAAAACAGACTCAATGAATGTTTGAAAGCTAAGTTTCAGGATTTTCAGGTCTTGTCTTTATTATCAGATATGATTGGTTCTGAGGGAGGAAATTTGAGCATGTAAAACCATCGTATTTTCAAATTGATTGTTTTCAAGACTTTAATTAAATCACTATGCTTTTAATTGTATTCTGAACGCAAGCTACTGCAAAAATAGTAGAACTACTTGTCAGCTGAGGAGGATTATGAATAGCTTTACCAGTTAGAGAAAAAGTATTAAATAAAGGAATAAGGAGGATCATTTCTTCTGTTAATTAAACAATAACAACACAAAACTATAGTTGCATATACAGTAAACAATGATTATAGTGAGCATGATATAGAAGTTCAATGTTTTAGAGTGAAAGAAAACAGTGAAAGGAAAAGATCAATGTTTTGAGTCCTGGCTTTGGCACATACTCCCTGATTCACATTGGTCAAACAATTTTTGTATCAGTTTCTTCATTATAAAGTAAATGTAACTAAAACTAACTCAAAGTTGTTATATATATATATAACATATCTGCTCGCAGAAGGAGATATATATGTCATAATAGATAGCAATAAATATTAGTGTGTTTCCCTAGTATCCAAGGCTTTTAAAACCTCCTTCATAAAAACAAACAAAAAAACTTGTAAAATTAAGAAGTAAATAACTAATAACACAACTCCAAATTTATGCATGTTTAAAACTGTTTGTTTCTTCTGTATAGTTTTGGTACCTGATGGATGACTTGAGTAGATAAAAAAAATTTTTTTTTGTCCTCCACCTTCTTTTCCTTATTTTAAAAAATGTTCCTCTACTGCTTTGCTCTGTATCCATTGAGAAATCCGTTAGTGACAAGATTTTCTTTACTTTGTAAGGTACTTAGTGTTTTGATCTGGACTCCCGAAGCTTTCTTCCTTGTCTTTACAATGTAAATGTTTAGCTTGGAGACGTCTTGGGGGTGTTGCTTCTGTGGTAGTTTTCCCTTGTGCACGACATTTTGTCTGTTTTAATATATAGATTCCACTCTTAGTTCTAGAAAATCTCCTTGGATTTTGTTTTATATTCATTCCATTTTGATTGTCATTCACTTCTATAGGCCCATGGATTTAACTCTTGCTTACTCTTTTTTCCTAACATCACGCTTTCAAGAAGAGATGCCTCCTTCTTTCAAGTTGTTCCTAAGTGATACATACTGAAGTATTTAGGGGAAAAGTGGTATAATGCCTTCAATGTACTTTAAAATGTTACAGAAAAAAAATAAAATTTATGTACAAATAAATAGATAGATGGACATTACACACACAAAGAATCACATAAAACAATGTAGCAAAATAATAAGAAATGGTTAATATTTGTAAAGTGTATATGAATAGTCATTGTGCTATTTTTTCCACTGTTCCTTAGATTTGAATTTTTTTCAAAATAAAATGTGAGAGTAAAATTAAGCCTCACTTAATTACCCAACTACAATATTTTTATGTCAGGCTGATCTAAGGTACCATACTGGAGGAATTTTAAGGATTGCTTTATTCAAAGCCTTATTTTATAAAGAAAAAAATGCAGCAGAAGTAGTTTTGTGATTTGTCCAAAGCTATAAAAAAAGAACCAAATTAATGTTACACAAATGAAATATAAAATAGCAATAAAACACTGCTGGATGCATTGAAGAGTAGAGATAAAAGAGTACATATTGGTGAACTGCAGAAAGACAAACAGAGTTTACACAATCTTAACAGACTGAAAAAATACACCAGAAAAAAATTAGGGGCACCCAGGTGGTTCAGTCAGTTAAGCATCTGACTTCGGCTCAGGTCATGATCTCAGGTTTGTGAGTTTGCTCGAGTGCCACAACCAGCTTGACACTGACAGTGCAGAGCCTGCTGGGATTCTCTCTCTCCCTCTCTCTCTCTCTGTCCTCCCCCACTTGCTCACTCTCTCTCTCTCTCCCCCACCTTTCTCAAAAGAAATAAACTTAAATATAAAATAAAACAAAATAAAATAAAATAAACAGAGCCTCCAAAGTCTGTGTGACTGTAACAAAGGACCCAACATTTGTATCATTATAATCGCAGAAGGAGAGGAGAAAGAAAGTGGACTAAAAGGATAGTCAAAGAATTAATGACTGAAAGCATCCCAAATGTGATGAAAGACACAAATCTACAAATTCAAGGAAGTGATCAAATTCCAAACAAGGTAAGTCCAAAGATATCTACAATAAAATAGATCATAATTACACATCGGAAGACTAAAGACAAGAAATGCTGAAAGCAGCCAAAGAGAAACCGTGTATTATCCTAAGGAACACTAATCAAATAGCAGCATATTTCTCATTTGAAACTATGGAAGCCAGGATAAAGTTTTACAATATGTTTCAAGTGTTCAAAGAAAGAACCATCAAAAGTGAATTCTATATCTGGCAAAAGTAACCTTTAGAAATTAAGAGGAAAAAAAGACATCCTCAGACAAAAGAAAAATAACAAAATTTGTTGTTGGCAGAGCCATCCTTTAGGACTGGCTAAAAGAATATCTTCAACAGAAAGGAAATGATAAAGAAAATTGAGCCTGAGTGGCTGAGTTGGTTAAATATCTGACTCTCGATCTCAGCTCAGGTCATGATCTCACGGTTCTTGAGATTCTAGCCTCATCTCAGGCTCTGCGCTGACAGCTGGGAGCCTGGTTGAGGTTCTCTCTCTCCCTCTCTTTCTGCCCCACCCCTGCTCATGCATGTGTGCTGTCTCACTCTATCAAAACAAATAAATAAACAAAGAAAAAAGAATCCTGGAGCATCAGGAACAATACATAATAAAAACAGCAGAAATATGGGTACAACAGACAATAGACTATCATTTTCCTATGAGTTTTATCAGCCATATTGGATAATTAACACCCAATTGTAACACAATGTGACACTCAAGACAATGATATTTACAGTGTGGATGTTCATCAAAAAATTAAAAATAGATCTACCCTATGACCCAGCAATAGCACTGCTAGGAATTTACCCAAAGGATACAGAAGTGCTGATGCATAGGGGCACTTGTACCCCAATGTTTATAATGGCATTTTCAACAATACCCAAATTATGGAAAGAGCCTAAATGTCTATCAACTGATGAATGGATAAAGAAATTGTGGTTTATATACACAATGGAGTACTACGTGGCAATGAGAAAGAATGAAATATGGCCTTTTGTAGCAACGTGGATGGACTGGAGAGTGTTATGCTAAGTGAAATAAGTCATACAGAGAAAGACAGATACCCTATGTTTTCACTCTTATGTGGATCCTGAGAAACTTAAGAGAAGACCATGGGGGAGGGGAAGGGAAAAAAAAGAGAGGGAGAGAGCCAAACCATAAGAGACTCTTAAAAATTGAGAATAAACTGAGGGCTGATTGGGGGTGGGAGGGAGTGAAGGGTGGGTGATGGGCATTGAGGAGGGCACCTGTTGGGATGAGGTATTGTATGGAAACCAATTTGACAATAAATTTCATATTTAAAAAAAGACACTGATATTTAAAAGTGGGAAGATAAAGGATCTAAAATGGAAATGAATTTTCCAAGTCTTTATAAGAGATACACATGGAAGGTTTGTGGCAACCCTGCATCAAGGAAGACTAGAGGTGACATTTTTCTAACAGCATTTGTTCAACTTGTATCTCTCACATTTTCATAATTCTTGTAATATTTCAAATATTTTATTTTTATTATTTTTATCTGTGATCAGTGATTAGGGCTCACTAAAAGCTCAGATGATGGTTCGTACTTTTTAGTAATAAAATATTTTAATTCAAGTGCATACATTTTTTAGACATTGCAATGCTATTGCACCCTTAAAAGAGTACAGTATCATGTACAATAACCTTTATCTGTACTGAGAAACCAAAAATTCATTTGACTCGCTTCATTGTGATATTTGCTTTATTGTTGTCTAGAATCAAACCTGAATGTCACCAACACAGGCTTGTAAATAATAAATATATGAGTAGAAATAAAATTTAAATAGAAAACAACACAGAAAATGAATAAAAGAAATGGCTACTTAAAAAAAAAAATCAATGAAATCCAGAAACCTCTTATAAGACTGACAAAAATAAAAAGAAGACACAAATCACCAACATTAGTAACAAAATGAAGATATCACTACAGATTTGGCTGTCATTTAGAATAAGTAAATACAAATAACTTTATACTCATAAATTTAATAATATAGGAAAAAATGGACTAAATTTCCTAAAACCACAAATTAGCACAACTCAATAAAGATGAAAGATGTGTCTGCACAGCCTGAAAACTACTAAAGAAACTGAATTCATAATTTAACAAGTTCATAAGAAATCTCTAGGCCCAAATGGTTATACTGAAGAATTTTAACAAATATTTAGAAAGACTTAACACTAAATTTTATGGAATCTATTACAGAAAATAAATGAGGGAATACTTCCCAGCTCATTTTATGAGGCAAGCATTATCCTAATTTTGATAGCAAAATCAGTAATAGTACAAAAAAGGTAAACTAGAAAACAGTATATTTTATGATCTTGGATACAAAAATCCTTAACAAAATACTAACACACTAAATTCAATCAAGTATAAAAATAATTATATTCTATTACCAAGGCATGGCAAAGCTGGTATAACATTAAAAGATCAATATAAACTACTGCATCAAAAATCTAAAGAAACAAAATTTAATGATCATATCAATTGCAACAGGAAAAAAAACTCTTGTCAGTATCAAACATCTATTCATGAGAAAAACTGTCAGAAAACTAGAAATAGAGGGGAATTATTCAACTTGATAAATGTGTCTACAAAATCTATAGTAACATATTTCTTAATAGTGAAAGACTGAATTGAATTATTTCTCTGTAATATCAGGAATAAGACAATACTCTTACTGAGTATAGTGTTCTAGCTACTGCACTAAGATAAGAAAAAGAAATTAAAGGTGGTCAAAATGGAAAGAAATTTAACTATTTGTAGATAATAGTCATATAAAAATACTAACAAACCAAAAAACAAAAATAAAAACAAAACAAAACATCTAGAAACAATAAGTGAGTTCAGTAAAGGCAAAAGGTAATAAAGCAAAAACACACAGCAACCACATGGTTATTAAAGGGTAACATAGGTACCTTGTAGTAATGGAACTGTTGAAAAATATGACTGGGGAGGTGGATGCAGGTAAAACATAATAATAAAATTGTGTGGGACTAAATGCATACATAAAGACACACAATCACACAAGTGAATGCACACCCAGCAGAGGAAAGGTAAAGAGCATCAGTGGGTTGTGTCAACGTCAGTATCCTGACTGTGATATGTGATATTGTACTGTAGTTTTGTTACCTTTAGAGGAAACTATGCAAAACATATTTAGGATCTCTCTGTATCATTTTTTACAACTGATGTGAATGTACAATTATCTAAATACAAATTTCAATGAAAAAAGACAGGGTTCCCAGTTAAATTTTAATTCCAGGTTTAAAAAAAAAAAAACCTATACCATTTTAGTACAAATACATCTAAAGTATAAGTGGAAAATATTTACACTAAAAAGACTATCAACTTTTTATTTGACTCATGGATGTCTGTACATGTGGTTAGATTGTTATGGCAGAGAGGCACTAAGCTCATGGGATCAACACTTTCATGGCAAGCAGTAAGCAAGTCTGTGCTTTATATCCAAGGGAGGCAATCCATCATCCCTCAAGGTTGCTTGCTGCAAACATAATCCTGAGAAGTTGCCCAAGTAAAGAGAAATCAGGGATATTACAAAAAGAATATTCAAGGATGCTCAGGGCCCATGGAAGATTGCCTCTCCCAATAGGAAGGAGAATGAATACAACTTGCTAAGATTGGATGTGGGGGAGAAGAGAAGAGAAGAGTCAAACTATTGTGTAGAGTTGTGGCTTAAGGAGCTATGTGGATAGTGATGCCACTTACTGAGGTAGGGCGTAAAAAGGTTTGGAAGTGGAAAAAGTAACCAATGTTTTCTTTCTGCCATGTTTGATAGTCCTAATATTAGACCTTTAAGTCCAAATGACATGGAGGTTAATTTGAAATATTTTGCAAGCAGCTTAAATATAGAACACCCTTTAAAGCCAATGAAGATTATAGCCTAATGCTCCTCAATCATAGTTCATACCTACAAAAGAATGGAAGAATCCCTCAGCTACAATGGTCATCCCACTAAAACGTATCTGGATAAAATCAAAGGTCTGCTTAATGCGGCCATTATAATTATCTACTAAATGTGTACATAAAATTTCTCTTTTTTGGTATGAGTTTTTGCTACTCTCTAAATATGGCCCTATTTTTTTTAACATTTATTTATTTTTAAGAGACACAGAGGGAGAGAGAGAGAGCACAAGGGGGGGGGCAGAGAGAGAGAGACACACAGAATCCCAAGCAGGTTCCAGGCTCTGAGCTGTCAGCACAGAGCCCGACACGGGGCTCGGACTCACAAACCACAAGATCATGACCTCAGCCGAAGTCAGACGCTTAACAGACTGAGCCACCCAGGTACCCCTAAATTTGGCCCTATGTTAAACTATTTGGGTATGTAGCTATTTTTGTTCTGGGAAAAAATAAAGTAGTCTTAACTGTTCAGTGAATATTTAAGCCCTGTTTTATAATGAAGAGATGAACATAATTATTGTAAAAATTTTTATTGATTCTCCTTATGACAACACATCCATGGCTGAATTTATCATTACTTTAACCTGTTTGTGAGAATACAGCATCCTTTATTGATTTTATACTTGTTATTAAATAGGATATTTATTCTACACTCAGAAGATGTAAAATAAACAAACACATACTTCTTTTATGAATGAATGACCTATATATGGCTGAAAGACTGTTAATGCCCATAACTGAAAACTTCTGCCCATTGCTAATTCCATCACTATCACATCTTCAGCTCTGCTTTTTACAAGAGCTTTCTATTTTCTCCTTTGAGGGACTCTGAAGCTTAAGGACAAAGGATGCATATAAATGAGACCTTCAGAGCTGATCGGAAAGAGAAATATAAAGTGGGTTTCTCCCCAAAACCCATTCTATGTAATTGAGCCAAAAGATAAAACAGTAACACGTAAAATCAGTCTGAGATCTCTCTTTTTTTTTTTTTCCTGTGAAGGTCCTATCGTTTGAATTCAGCTTGCAAGATTGAAAGACTTAAATGTGTTTCAAATAAAAATTAAACATACAGGAGTACTGATGCACAGGGGCATTTGTACCCCAATGTTTATAGCAACACTCTCAACAATAGCCAAATTGTGGAAAGAGCCTAAATGTCCATCAACTGATGAATGGATAAAGAAATTGTGGTTTATATACACAATGGAGTACTACGTGGCAATGAGAAAGAATGAAATATGGCCCTTTGTAGCAACATGGATGGAACTGGAGACTGTGATGCTAAGTGAAATAAGCCATACAGAGAAAGACAGATATTATATGCTTTCACTCTTATGTGGATCCTGAGAAACTTAACAGAAACCCATGGGGGAGGGGAAGGAAAAAAAAAAAAAGAGATTAGAGTGGGAGAGAGCCAAAGCATAAGAGACCCTTAAAAACTAAGAACAAACTGAGGGTTAATGGGGAGTGGGAGGGAGGGGAGGGTGGGTGATGGGTATTGAGGAGGGCATCTTTTGGGATGAGCACTGGGTGTTGTATGGAAACCAATTTGACAATAAATTTCACATATTAAAAAATAAATAAAATAAAACTGAAAAAAAAACAAATAAAAATTAAACATCCTATTTCCTTCTCATACAACGTATGTGGCATTTGTTGGAGATCTAGGTCAACCAAATTAACATACTGATCTTGGTACTTGAAAGGAGGTATCTGGTAGAATGAGAACCTTTATTTTTCCAGGAAAGAAAGAAAACGCGGTGGAAATAACATTTTGCGGTGTCAGGCACTATGATAGGTATTGTCTGTTTTGTTCTTCAAAGTAGTCTTTGAACTAGGCATTAACTCCCACTAATTATATATTTATGAACAAGACCATTCAACACCATTTAACAAATATTTTGATCATATCAGGCAGTATTCAAGGCATGCAATCTATACTGAATATATATCCATAACTATAAATGATTATTGTCTATACTGGGGAAGGCATATTATTAAGTGAACAATTACTGCAGATTTCAGTAAGTACTCAGAGAAGTACAGCTGCTATGACAGCTCTGAATAAGAGTGCCTAACTGGTTTTTCATTGCTGTTTTGTGTGTGCCAAGGGTCAGAAAAGAGGGGGATAAGATTTCAGAAAAGGCTCCACAAAGTACTGCCACGGTGAGTAAAGCTCACCTTTGAAGAACACGTATGAATGAGCTTGCCAGAGAAGAAGGTAAGAGTGCTTGAGCCAGATCAGAATAGCTAAAAATGAGAGAAAGCAGGGTGCATTCAAAAACTCAAATGACACTCTAATGATGCACAGAGAAGTGAGTGTGTGGACCAGTCACACAGGACTCATCACAGGGGCCTTAGAAGCCACGTTATGAGCATTTCCTATAACGCTAATGACTGGGAAGCCATTAGGTGATTTTGAAGAGGAATGGTAGGAAGAGATTTGTATTTTGAGTAAGGTGAACAATGCAATAAAAGCGTATTGGTATTGGTCGAACTACATCCCTGTCCTCATACCCCATCTTGAATATTACACACAAAATTGCAGGGAACCATTGACAATCTTTTCCTTCTGGCCTCAGCCTTGATATCTTTTAAAAGAATGGATCCCTTCCTGCATCATAGCAGTTATATATAATTCTTGTATGACTAGATTTTTAAAGAAAATATTCAAAAACAACAAAAATATAAAGCAATATCATCTTTTCCCTAATTGAGAAAATAGAGGAAACATCGCTACAATTATTTGTGTCCTAAAAATGGAGAAAAATGAATGAAATTTTGTAAAGCCTTAACTTTAATCTAAAAGAGTAGTCAGTAACACATTTCTTTAAAAAATTTTAAGTGGTTATGCTCCTGAACTAAATACAACTCTGTTATTTTTTAAGTTATACATTTAACAACCATTGGACTATATACAGAATTTAGGTTTAATGTAGCTTAACAAAATGTATTGTTATATAATATGATTGCAACATGTTAAGAATATTAACTGTTCAAAACATGGCTCCTAAGGATAATTGGGTCAGTTCTGCAAAGAATTGACTGATACGGATCACAAAGTTCTATAAAACAAATTGCATGTGATAGTGGTGATATTAATAACAATCCTCATGGGAGTGCTGATTAATTATAATGTAAGTTAGGGGGACCTGTCCATTTCTCAAATAAATACCATGGGCTCACTGATTTTAATTTCATGGAGGGAAAATCAATATCTTGAACAGTTTTGAGCATACTTGCCTTTTCCTCTCTTCAGATGTCTAGAGTTTGCTCAGGTTTATTATTACTGTTTTTTTATTCAGTAAAATATAGCCCACCTTTAATATAAAGAAAACTTCCTAATATTATAGTTTATCTTCTGTCCAGACTTCGCCTTAACAGCTGTTTTACAAATCAAACTCAGTGTTGATCAAGAGGAGACAGGAATTTCCACAAGAGCATAGCCATTGACATTATGCAACTCAATTTGATTCCAATGGATAAATAACTTTCAAAACCCACATTTCTGACAATCAGTTTGGCTGAAATCAGCTTTTGTTCTACTCTGTTTTTCTTGCTAAATTGGGATTTCTATAATTATTAACTGAACTACTCCCCTGGCAATTATCTCACTTCTATAATTAAACAGAGGATTTGGCTCAGTAAAATGCCAGATCTTAATCCAACCCCCGAGCCCCCCCCCAAAAAAATATCATCAACTTTCAAATCATCATCAAGAGAGGCTGAACTCATCCTGATGATTTCTCTTAGAATGCACCTCTCAATCAACTTGTTTCCAAAGTAGAACCTTAAAAGAAAGAAGAATAATAATGAAGCTCTCTTGGACTTCTGATCCAGAATTAAGCCAGATAAGACTGGTCCCTCTCAGAAGAATATTGATACCAAATTAAGTATCAGGTTAATGGAGGGCCTTAGTTAATTCACTGGCACAAATGAAGAGATGTTCAGGGTATTTAAAGACAGATCTTTTTACTAGAGGCTGATATCTTTGAACACTTTCAGTTCCTGGCAAAAAGCAAAATTGAAGAAAGAGTGGTTTGATGTCAATGGAAATTTGTAAGTAATTTACTTGTAATTTACACAAATCTCTTTTCAAAATAAGCTGAAAGCAGCTTTTAGTCAATCTCCATCTATTACCACGAGAAAATTAAACTGTCCAACAGAATGTGGAAACCAAGATCATCCTCATGGCTCTCAGTTTCGTTGTGTGAACCTAGCTTGGAAAATAGGAAGTGCTCAATGAGTAGTGTTAAATGAATATAATATTTTATCAGCCCTCTTCAAAGTCCTTTAAAGGCTTCTATGTCAATCTCCTCTCCATCCCAGTCAGACAAGCATTAAAGAAATACAACTGTTTCATCAAATAGGAGGTTCTCATTGTTCTCACCATTACTTTGGGTTATGGAATAGGCTGTTAAAATATTTTTTTTTCACAAACAGAAACAATTGTTAAAATGGATAAAGCCATTTCATTTTGTCCCAAGTAGTTTAGTGCTATTCCTTAATATATTTGTTAGAGCATTATAAAGAATTTAGACTCAAGTTATATATTTTGAACCATCGATAACCTTCTTGAATTCAAAAGAGCAGGAAAAATGAATTTATGGAAACTTCTGAAAAATAATTTTAGAGTCCTCAGAATATCTGCAGTTAGGTGTTTACAATATATTCAGAGAGACAAATGTATAGTGATAATAAGTATGGGTTCTAGAATCAGACTTATTCAAGCTGCAATCTCAGCTAGATTGTATACTGGAAAATTTCTCCTTTCAAAGCATCGGTTTTCCACTTGTAAAACTGGAATGATACTAGAAGTATATGACATACATGTGTGTTCAAGAATGAAATATATCCAGGAATTACTGCTAAATGAAAACAGCACATCACAGAACATGTAATATTCTTCTGCAAAATGATATCTGTGCATTACAAAAAAAAATGGCTCTTGGTACAGCCACTCTGAAAAACAGGGTGGAGGTTCTCCCCCAACGAAAAAATAGAACTACCACATAACCCAGTAACTCTGCATCTGGTTATGTATTCGAAAATAACAAAAATACTAATTCAAAAACATATCTGTACCCTCATGTTATAGCAGCATGATTTACAATAGCTTAGACCTGGAAACAATGTAAGTGTCCATGGATGAATGAATGGATAAAAATCTTGTAGTATATAGACAGTGGGATAGTATTCAGCCATAAAAATGAGAAAATTCTTCTGTTTACAACAACATGCAGAGGCCTTGAAATTATCATGCTAGGTGAAATAAGTCAGAG